CTCCACCAATGATTGCATTAATTGCCAGTTCTGTGAACACGCATGCTAATCTTGCATCAAGCTCTTCAGTAATGACAGAATCCATTGATGATGAAAATTCACTTACAGCTTGGAGATACTTAACTAACAAAGAATCTACCATCACAACTTAAATTTCCCCAACTTAGAAAAAAGTAAATTTTGAGGTTGAGGAGAGAATAGATGCACTGGTTTCATTTTGTTGGGCTGTCCCACTGATGCTTTGAAAACTATAGTGGTCACTTTAATTGTTACTAAAGCCATGTAACTTTGTTCTGACTGGTATATAACAATATGTAATACAACTACTCTGCTTCCCAGGTTATATAAACAGGTCCCTCTAGACTGCTTACAGTTTATTGCAGGAGACAAGAAGGGGGAAATGTAGAGGAGTGCAAAGCGAAAGGAAAGTGGAAAAATAGCTTGCATTCACATTGTCCTCTTTGTGTACAAAAGTCCCCTGAGGTCCTCCACAATGTGTGAAAAAAAGCAATGGATTTGAAGGAAGGAAATATTAGGAAGGGTGACCAACAACTTCGTCAAAGAGGTGGCTTTTACAGAAAATCTTAAAAGGAAGAAAGATGGAGGGAAATACAGTCAGTGATCAATTTAGCTGAAGGCACAGTAATTAATGTTGTAATAAAGGGAGGGGGGAGGTGCTTAAATTGAGAGTTGCAACAAAATGAGAGTTTGACTTTGCAGGAACATGGGAGGGTGTTGATATGAACTTCTAGAGAGAATTTGAGGTAACTGAGAAACTTTGGGAATAGGATGACCACTTAGGTCAGATAATGTATAGGATTTGGTAAAGAATAGGATACCAACATCAGAGGGTTAGGTTAATTTAAATTTCCTGGTTTGGAGGATTGGAGTTTGGTTTGGAGAATATCAAAATAGCCTCTTTGTTAATAGATGCATGGTGATGCAAGCGGACAGACATGGAGGCTGCCAATATTCTGCAGATGAGACATGATAGAAAGGACATGCACTAAGAGCTTAGCTTAGATAGGATACTGGGGTATTTAGCAGTCCTGTTTACCCTGAGATAGTGGCCAGCAATCAAAATGGAATTATTCACAGGGTTGTTCAGTTTGTGGTTATGTTATTTATGGGGCCAAAGTTTTCAGTCGTCCCATTGTTTAGCTGCAGAAAAAAATGCTAATCATTTCAAACTGAATGTTAGACCAAACAGAAGAGTTCAGGGAGAGAACGTCAAGTTCATCAGGAAGCCTACAGTAGTTGAACAATTGCAACAAGCAAGGTACTGATCATACCTGAACAGCCCAACTTGTCAAATGCAGAGTGTTCAAGCAGCATTCCCTCTAATTTCCTTACTGGCTGCACAGGCCACGGAGGTCTGTGTGCAGCAGTGACTTCTGGAACTGGAAGTTAATGCCATGATGGCATGTTGATGTCAATCACTGTGCACACAGCCTTGCAGCTTAGAGGGAACATTGTGTCCAATCATATTCAAGGCTGAGATATACAGATTTTTAATCAGTAAGGGCATCAAGAGTTTTAGCGAAAAGGCAGGAAGTGGAGTTGAGGATTATCAGATCAGCCATGATCTCATTGAATGGTAGAGCTGACTCGATGGGCTGAATGGCCTACTTCTGCTTCTATGTCTTATGGACAACGCTTGGGTAATTCTGAATGTGCAAAGAACTGCACTGACAATTACGCCAATTTAGAATTGCCAGTCAGGCTCACAATGCATACTAGGATCTTATTATATTAGTACACCGGGCCCTGTTCTTTGTAGACAGAAAGCACAATTGCACTCACTGTGCCTGTTTCAATTCAAAATAACTGACAGCCATTTGCCAGTTCACTTTTCAGGGTACTTCCCTTACCAATCAGAGACAACCTGCTTAGTTTAAAGTTTGAACAAGCCTGCCCATTAATTGTTGCATTCTCATGGAAATGTCTTTACCAATCTTGCCAATAAATTAGTGCCCTCCCTTTATGCAATACAAATGTTGGTTAGCTATTGAACTGGCACCATCCTGACACATTGCAGGATGAGAAACTTCAACAAAATCTATCCTTTATTCAGTGATTCTCAAGTTTTGTCCCACCAACAGACTAATTATTATTTAACAGCATTCAATGATAAATCTGTAGGAATGCTGCAAATTAGCCATATAACCCTATTTGTTACTCTGGGTATTGATTTAGCTCAGTTGGCTGGATGGTTGGTTTGAAGCAGTGTGGTGCTGACGTACTGTGGGTTCAGTTCCTGCACTGGCTGAGGTTACTATGAAGGACTGTCATTCTCAACCTCTCCCCTTGCCTGAGGTGTAGCAGCCCTCAGGTTAAATCACCACCAGGTGCCTCTCTCTAATACGAGAGCAGTCCAATGGTCTGGTAAGACAATGTTGACAACTTGATTTCTTACTCTGGTTGACAGCCCCAACTCCTCCATTCAGCTGTCTTCAAGGCCAGCAACCAATGAGTTGTTGGCACAATCAGACCAAGAACTGACATGAATTTCAGGCCCTCAAAGATATTAGTCATATATGAATCAATCCCCTTCTTTTGCCTTAGCATTTGGTCTCAAAAATGCAAAATTTTCACAAATCTTAATGACATATTACATAAAGAAAAAATATTTAAATCTTTGAGGAAGAATCTCAAATTTTAAAAAAAAGTATCCTAAATGTTATGCTTTATTTTGAAAGAATACAATGGATTTTTTAAGTATGTAATTTGAGTTGGCAATTACAAAAAAACAGAAGGCAACAGAACAAAGAAACCCATAATTTTCACCATGATTATAGGGCATCAAAATTTATTGTGCATTGTAGAAAACATTAACATTTAATAATATTTGGTATATAATATGTATTTAATAATATGAACTAATGATCTTTCAAAATGCTATACCTTTCGTTAGAATCAACAGGAAAATGATGCCTTTTGAATTTCAAAATGATGGATTACGAACTACAGAATACGGAGAACTGATTTCTGATTCTGAATCATCTAAATAGCTTAGCATGTGTATGCTAATACTAATTTCCACTCACAACACAGTTATTTCATAAAATGAGTGATATACAGGAATTAGGAACTTCATCACCACTCTCCTCCTCATATCATGAATTATCCATCAAAGAATTAAATTAAAGAAGTTAACAGAACAATGCCAAGAAAACAAGTTGGAAAACCTGTGACTTCTGATTCTGAATAATCGAAATAACATTGCTTGTACATTCTTGCATTTAACTAATGACAGTTACCATGCATTTACCTTAGAGATATGAATTGGCTGTGAAAGGCACATTCAGAAGTTTTTTTTCCATTTGGAGGAAGCATCATATATTTCCCATCCCATATTGCCCCAAGGAACGTGACCGCGAACTATCTTTTTGAACCACTGACATCCATGTGGTGTAGGGACACTCAGTGTTGCTAGGGAGGGAATTCAAAAATTTTGATGGAATGACAGCGAAGAAACAGCAAGATAGTTCCAAAAAAGGGTGGTGTGTGGCTTGGAGGGGAACTTGCAGCTGGTGATTTTCATGTATCCACTGCCTTTGTCCTTCTAGGTAATAGAGGTCAGAGGCTGAAAGATATTGTCTAATAAGCCTTGATGACTTGCTGCAGTGCATCCTGTAGATGATACACACTGTACATCGGTGGTGGAGTTAGTGACCATTAAAGGTGTTAGATGGGGCATAAATCAATCTGGTTGCTTTTCCTGTATGATGTCAAATATCTTGAGTGTTGCTGTTCCTACACTCATCCAGACAATTGGGAAGCATTCCATCCACACTCCTATGCCTTCTTGACAGTGGACAGGCTTTGGGGAATCAGGTGATTTTACTTGCTGCAGAATTCCAATAAAGACCTGCTTTTGTAGCTACAGTATTTATGTGGCTGGTCCAGTTCAGTTTCTATAAATATAAGCCTTCCCCCAAAATGTTGACAGTAAGAAAGTCAGCAATTATAATTTTGTTTCATCCACTATTAAGGACTGACAGAAGCAAAGTGACCTGTAGACAGGTAAAGACCAACAAGCATCGTCAGAATGGGAGCAGGATGAAGAACAGAAAGTACAACACACATGGTTTAGGGTTACATTTGGCCAAAGTACAGCAGTATCTATAATCTGATCTTCCCAAAAGACATCACAAATAAAGTATACTGGTTTGGTAAAAGCAGATACTGTGGATGCTGGAAATCCAAAACAATCGCAGAAAATGCTAGAGAAAGTCAGCATCTGTGGAGTAAAACAGTTGACATTTCAAGTCTGGTATGGGTCTTCTGAACTGACAGTTTAAAGGGTTGGGGGCTGAACTGAAGAGTAATACGTAACTTGAATTGTTAACACTGTTTCTCTTTCCACAGGTGCTGCAAGTCGTACTGACTTTCTCCAGCCTTTTCTGTGATTGATACTAGTTTGGTGAACACACAACAAATTACTGTGTCACCAATGAATGGCCTTTGAAGCCCTGAATGATGGTGTTGAACAAAGGCAAAAGATAGATATTGGAAATCAGCAAAGACGGGATTATAATTAATATTTCCAGTCAAAGAAATGCAACTACGTGAAGTGTTAACTCTCCTTCTCCACAGATGATGCTACTGCTGTGCATTTTGGACATGTTGTGGTTTTAGTGCATTAGACAAGGTGTTACATGTGCTGTTCACGCTTGGATAAAGTTGGAAGACCATACTGTGTTTTGGGATTATTTACGTTCATTTTAAAGGGCTAAACATGCAGGGGAATTTCCAATGACTGCATTAAATGTTTGTCCCTTAAAGGTCTCATGTAACTTGCTTTTAGCATCATTTTGGTGCTCATTGGAAAAGAACCAAAAGGAATAGGATCATCAAGTTGATCAGACTCCTCCAACAAGACAGCCAATTGGTGAGTGAGACAGATACCCACTATATTGGGGGAGGGGGGGGCACAAATTTCAAGATCTTGCCATATTTGTCAAGTACCTATTTGGGACATTCTCCCAACTACTCACAGGTGCACTTCTACCCTGGGTAAATGTGCAATTCCGAGCGTCCCTCCTTCCCCGCTCCGCTTCCACACTCTTCAACCGTCTCCTGGCCCCAGCCGCGGTATTCAAACTCAGCGCGAGAACCGCTTCAGAGGGTGAAACACTAGCCCCCGCCGGCAACCTCCAGAGACACCACCCCCCAGCGGTAACTCCCGAAAATACCATTAATATTCGCCCCTTGTCAGGCAACATCCAGAAATAACAAGGTGTAGAGTTGGATGAACGCAGGAGGCCAAGCAGCATCAGAAGAGCAGGAAAGCTGACGTTTCAGGCCTAGACTCTTCTTCAGAAATGGGGGAGGGGGAAGGGGGTTCTGAAATAAATAGGGAGAGAGGGGGAGGCGGATAGAAGATGGATAGAGAAGAGGATAGGTGGAGAGGAGACAGACAGGTCAAAGAGGCGGGGATAGAGCCAGTAAAGGTGAGTGCAGGTGGGGAGTTGTGGGGGAGATAGGTCAGTCCAGGGAGGACGGACAGGGAGCGGGATGAGGTTAGTAGGTAGGAGATGGGGGTACGGCTTGAGGTGGGAGGAGGGGATAGGTGGGAGGAAGGGCAGGTTAGGGAGGCGGGGATGAGCTGGGCTGGTTTTGGGATGCGGAAAGGGGAGGGGAGATTTTGAAGCTTGTGAAGTCCACATTGATACCATTGGGCTGCAGGGTTCCCAAGCGGAATATGAGTTGCTGTTCCTGCAACCTTTGGGTGGCATCGTTGTGGCACTGCAGGAGGCCCAGGATGGACATGTTGTCTAAGGAGTGGGAGGGGGAGTTGAAATGGTTCGCAACTGGGAGGTGCAGTTGTTTATTGCGAACCGAGCGTAAGTGTTCCACAAAGCGGTCCCCAAGCCTCCGCTTGGTTTCCCTGATGTAGAGGAGGCCACAACGGGAACAGCGGATACAGTATACCACATTAGCAGATGTGCAGGTGAACATCTGCTTGATGTGGAAAGTCTTCTTGGATCCTGGGATGGGGGTGAGGGAGGAGGTGTAGGGGCAGGTGTAGCACTTCCTGCAGTTGCAGGGAAAAGTGCCGGGTGTGGTGGGGTTAGAGGGGAGTGTGGAGCGGACAAGGGAGTCCCAGAGAGAGTGGTCCCTCTGGAAAGCAGATAAGGGTGGGCAGGGAAAAATGTCTTTGGTAGTGGGGTCGGATTGCCGATGGCGGAAGTGTCGGAGGATGATGCGTTGGATCCAGAGGTTGGTGGGGTGGTACGTGAGGACAAGGGGGACTCTGTTTTGGCTGTTATTGCGGGGAGGGGGTGTGAGAGATGAGTTGCGGAAAATGCGGGAGACATGGTCAAGGGCGTTCTCAACCACTGAGGGGGGGGAAGTTGCGGTCCCTGAAAAACGAGGACATCTGAGATGTTTGGGAGTGGAGTGCCTCATCCTGGGAGCAGATGGGGCGGAGGCGAAGGAATTGGGAATAGGGGATGGCATTTTTGCAGGAAGGTGGGTGGGAGGAGGTGTATTCTAGGTAGCTGTGGGAGTCGGTGGGCTTGAAATGGATATCGGTTTCCAGGTGGTTGCCAGAGATGGAAACAGAGAGGTCCAGGAAGGAGAGGGAGGTATCAGAGATGGTCCAGGTGAACTTAAGGTTGGGGTGGAAGGTGTTGGTGAAGTGGATGAATTGTTCGAGCTCCTCGTGGGAGCGCGAGGCAGCGCCGATACAGTCATCAATGTAACGGAGGAAGAGGTGGGGTAGCTACGGAAGAGGGATTGTTCCACGTAACCTACAAAGAGGCAGGCATAGCTTGGGCCCATGCGGGTACCCATGGCCACCCTCTTTGTCTGTAGGAAGTGGAAGGAATTGAAAGAGAAGTTGTTGAGGATGAGGACGAGTTCGGCTAAGCAGATGAGGGTGTCAGTGGAGGGGGACTGGTCGGGCCTGCGGGACAGGAAGAAGCGGAGGGTCTTTAGGCCATCTGCATGGGGAATGTAGGTGTATAAGGACTGGACATCCATGGTAAAGATGAGGTGTTGGGGACCAGGGAATTGGAAGGTTTGGAGGAGATGGAGGGCATGGGTGGTGTCACGGACATAGGTGGGGAGTTCCTGGACCAAGGGGGAGAAAATGGAGTCGAGATAGATGGAGATAAGTTCGGTGGGGCAGGAGCAGGTGGAGACAATGGTTCGACCACGGCAGTCAGGTTTGTGGATTTTGGGAAGGAGATAGAAGCAGGCGGTGCGGGGTTGGGGAACAATGAGGTTGGAGGCTGTGGGTGGGAGGTCACCTGAGGTGATGAGGTTGTGGATGGTTTGGGAGAAGATGGTTTGGTGGTCGGGCGTGGGGTCATGATCAAGGGGGCAGTAGGAGGAGGTGTCAGAGAGTTGGCGTCTGGCCTCGGCGATGTAGAGGTCAGTGCACCATACTACAACTGCGCCTCCTTTGTCCGCGGGTTTTATGGTGAGGTTGGGATTGGAGCGGAGGGCTGCACATTCTGTGGGGGAGAGGTTGGACTGGGTGAGAGGGGTGGAGAGGTTGTGGTGATTGATGTCATGATGGCAATTGGAGATGAAAAGGTCAAGGGAGTGTAGGAGGCCTTGGGGTGGTGTCCAGGAGGAGGGGGTGTGTTGGAGGCGGGAGAAGGGGTCAGTAGAGGGACGGTTAGGCTCACGATTAAAGAAGTAAGCGCGGAATATCCAGAGACACCATCAACTTCCTCTCCCTGCCAGGCAACCGCTAGAAACATCACCACTAGCAGCGACCTCCAGAGACACCATCAACACTCTTCCCCCAGCCAGGCAACCAGAAGCAAACAAGCCTTTTTGAAAACTGAACAGAGATGTTCTGCAAAGCTATTACCTCGTCTTAAACCAAATTTGAGTTCTTTTAATTGGGATAAAATAGTTGAAGGTGTGAAGACAGAATTCCAAAAGGCAGTTGATCAAGTAAAAACTACAGGCCTTTCAACAATATGTTATAGCTGTTAGGGGATAGTTGTAAATATGATCTACCAGATTCAACACACATAATCTGATTCTCTGCAGATGAAGCACAGCATAAATACACCTGTTTGCAGCCAGATGGGTTGATCACTCAAGGATAGATTTCCTGTTTGTGTCCCGAACATTCTTAGTCAGATCCACCAATGTCAAACTGGTGGTTCTTCTCTGACCACTGCCTCCTTCTGACCAACTGTCACCTACAGGACAACCAAGGGTTGGCAAGAGAACGTGGAGGCTGAACGTGAAACTGTTGACCTCAGAAAACATTGAGGATCAGCAAAGCCTTTTATGCCAGATTGTATGACGTGAATTCTGCAGACAGCGTGGCCTCCCAGCCATTCCTGTCCTCTATTACAGAAACCTTAGGTGACTAAACTGGACCAACTGTTATTTCTGGATGAGCTGACCAAGTCCCTTGAGTCCTTTGAGAAGAGTAAAACTCCCAGAAGTGACTGCTGGCCAGAAGCATGTATGAATCCAGGGCATCATTACCCTGATCTACAAGCAAAAGAGGGAGAAGGAGGAAATCAGAAATTGGTGAACAATTTTTTATGGACCCCCTCAAAATATATTAAAATGGTAGCCTAGACCCTAACTTTTTTATTTTAAAGGCAAATGTAAGGTGCTGTATTCCAGATATAATTTGATTTGTCAAACTACTCAACATTAAGCAAAACACAATTTATTCATACACCAAAGTTAAAATACAACGACAGTAACTATTAGTAATTACATGTGCCAATACAGCAACGTTCCATAAACACAGCATTGGCAAAATGCAGGTTCAGAAAAAAGATTGTCTCACATGCAGTTCTCCCATCCAGGAGGAAAGAACATCAAAAGACAATTCTGAGAGACAGTGTAGCAGTTGAGAGAGATTCACTGCCTTGTAACTCTCCTGAAACTCCAACAGAAACTATTGAAAACTAAACCTAAAATCCTTGGTTCTGTGGGTGGGAGTTTGTTAGTGTAGTCTCAATCAATGGGTGGCAATCAGAAAGCTTCCAAATTTGGTCTGGAGTCAGATATGGATGCCCACTCTCCCTGCTGCCTTCTTTGTGTGCTGTATAGAGCCTTGTGCTAAATCCATCAGGAAGGATACAAACCTGAAAGGGGTAACTATTCCAGGCAGCAAAGGCCTGCACTGAAAACCTCCCTGTACATGGATGATGTTGCTGTCGTCTGCTTGGATACACTGTCAGTGCGCAGAGTCATAAGCAACTGCAACCAGTTTGAACAAAAGCAGAAGTCACTGGAAAAGCTCAGCTGGTCTGGCAGCATCTGTGAAGAAAAAAAATCTGAGTTCACCCTTCCTCAGAACTGCAACCAGTTTGAACTGGCCTCAGGAACCAAGATAAATTGAGGCAACAGCGAGGCCATGATCTTTGAGAGCTAGAATGACCAATCCTTTATGTCCCCCGCCATCAGATCAGATTCGCCAAAGGTGCAGGGAATATGTTTCGGAGAAGCTAGGCGTGTGCAAAAATCTTAGGAGGACTGTGTCAGCAAGGTGAGGCAGAAACTGGGACTATGGGAGCGCCGGTTCCCCTCCATTGCAGGTAAAAGCCTGGCCATCAGGTGTGAAGTACTGTTGGTGCTGTTGAATGTGAAGAGGTCTGGCCCATTTCCAGAACCTGCATCATTACAGTCATCCAAGCCATCTTCCACTTCATCTGGACCGTGTCCGCAGGAATACCATGTACAAAGCTCTGGATGGATGGGGTGAGGGGACATGGGAAAGATGTATCTAATGCCACCCTCATCCTGATGGCTACCTTTGTATGTGGCTGCATCAAGCTGTGCGTAGACCCTCGGTATGCAAACACTAAGTGTCACTACATACTGAGGTTCTACTTGTTTCTGGTGTTCTGAAGGCTTGGCCTGACCTCGGCGTCATGCACCTCTTCAAATAGTTGGACCATTCCATAACACCTGTCCTTTATGGAGAAATTTGTAAAGAAACACACCTTGGACCACAAATCCATCAGGAAGTGGTCAGTATATACCATCCTCAAGACCCTGCAGGAAAAGGAGAGGGTTCATTCTGTCAGCTGGTTCCCTGAGCAGACTATCAAAGACATTTGGCAGAAAGCCGCATCACCAGGTTTTCCAACAAGTACCAAGATGTAGCTTGACTGATAGTGAGAAAAGCAGTGTCCGTCA